TATTCTATTTTTATTTTATTAGACAAAAAGGACCTCTTAAAATTAAATAGAAAGAGTATATTTATTATTAATTAATCACAATATAAATAAGCATATTTATTATAATATTTGTTGTAATTATAAATTTTCTTAAATTATTAATAAAATAGGGATAAATGCTATTCTACTCCCTCTGTTCCCAAAATTTTATTTTTAGATTAAGGATTAGAGGACATTTTTTATTTTTATCTATTTTATCTTCAAAAAATAAATAAAAATAAATAATTATTTTAATTAAAAGATGAATAATTAAAGTTGAGAGATAATTATAAGATTAAACTAGAAAAAAATATTTATCTCCTTTAAAATAAAAAAAAAAACTACTATTATTCTTAAACAAATTTTAAATTAAAATACATTTATTATTCTGAAACAAGGAAATAAATGATATATTCAAATAAGAAAAACGTCAATATCTTTTGTTTTTAACTTGAAAGTAGTGGCCAATTAATTTGGAATAAATCGTGGCAAAAAAAAAAAAAAAAGAAAGAAAGAAGAAGAAGTACCAATGGATAACTACTCCATCCATCCCAAAATACCTTATGTTTTTACTTTAAATTTATACTAAATTAATTGTCATTTTTTTCTTTTAATATAAACAAATATTTGTTTTCTTATATTAACCAATTATTATTTATTTGAAAAATGATTGGTATATATTAAATTTAACATACTTTCTAATATTTATTTCGATTTAGTTATTAAAATATAGTATAAGTACAGATAGTTTAATTGATTCTTTTATCTTGTATGCATGACTAAATTTTTTTAATTTGTTTACTTTTAATTTTAAATTAAAAATAATAATTTTTAATAAGTGTATTATACTATATGTTAAAATAGAATGTATACTAATTAATGTTCTATTCATTTACTTTAATTAATTATTCTATCATAAAAAAAATTTCATCTTTTATTTCTTTTTTAAGCTATATACTACTAGAAAAATGGCCCTTTAACATTGCATGAAAATAGTGTTAAATTAAAAGGTTTTGACATCGCATTGTGGTGTCAATAATTATTTAGTAAAATACTACTACATTTTAACTAATTTTTTGACATCGCAGTGCAGTGTCAATATTTACTCGCCATTGTAAAATTTTTTCTGCTAAATTTATTTTATAACCATATAAAATTAAACAAGAAATTTTTTGCAAACAATATTACCATTTTATTTGATACTGCACCTGCAATGTCAAATAATATATATTAAATACAGTACAAACCTTTGTTGTGGGGAAGTAATTTTTTCGTAGTTGTTAGACATCACAATGCAGTGTCAAATATGTTGTCATTATAACTAATTAACAATTAATATACTTTTACTTGATTCATGGTATAAAGACTTAGAGGTTAAAGGGTTTAGGGTTTGGAATAGCCTTGAACCTAAGGTACCCTTTACAAAGAACATTGTTCACAAAGGTTTTTAGCCACAATCAATATGATAAAGACCCCTAACAAGGTCTAATAGTTAAAAAGTTTGAGATTTGAAGTTAAAAATTTTAAATTCAAATTTTAAGTTGAATGAAAAAGGATTTAGAAAAAGGATAAAAATATTCATTTTTATATAACACATTTAAATATACTAAAAATAATAATAATAAAGCATAAGTACCCTTCACATAGAGTGACTAGTTAGCTCTGCGTTACCCAAGGTGAGTTTTCCCATGCTTAAATGTACTTGAACCCAGAAAACGGCTAAAAGGAAATCTAAATATGATAAAGCTTACCAAGAATCCCATCTCTTCAATAGAAAACCCCCAACAAACCAGAGAGCGTTCTCCAGAACTTAATTGATATCAAATTCAACTGAGAAAGAGATGGTGTAGAGGTTGTCCTCTACTTAAGTTACTTGAAAATCCATGTTATTGGCCAAGGCTTTGGGCAGGGCTCTATAGACATTGTTTGGAATTCACAACGTTCTCTACAATCACTCTTGCCACAATCATGAAAGTTTTTGACACTGCAAGGGAGTTCTCCCTTATTCTCCATGGTGATGTATAAGCAATCGAAAAATGATTAGTATACATTCAATTTAATATACTTTTTTACATTCACCTAATTTAGTTATTAAAATGATAACATAAGTATAGTTAACTTAACCGGTTCTTACATTCTCTATAGATAGTTGCATTTAAAAATTCGTAAACTTTTAATTTCAAATTAAAAAATAATAATTTTTAACGAATATATTATATAGTGTATTGAATTGAAATATGCAGTAATCACTATCTTAATTAATTTTGAAACCAAATTAACAAAATTAAGAATTGTTTTAATAGAAATTGAAACTTAATTTTAGAATTTTGATTTTGAAAGCGAAAATAGGAAATAAGCAACCTAAGAGAAGCGAAGGAAATTTTGATTGAGCAATAAAAAAAATAAGGGTTTGTTTAACCTGTTTTAAAATAATACAAATTAAAAGTACAATAAATATATATTTTTGTAATTAATTTATATAAAAAATAATAAAAATTGACATTTATTTTAATACCATTGTCACATAAATAGTTTTAATTAATTAATGATTAAATTAAAATTAATATTTATTTTTTTATATAAATTAATTATAAAAATATGTAAGATATAATATAGAAAAATAAAAGAAAGAGGAAGGCAAGAAGAAAGCTGGAAACCCGGTGACAATGGCAAGCATTGCCGGTGATTCTCATCAAGAAATCGCGAGGCTCTAATCTAACACTAGGCAGAGCAACAGGGAAAAATAACGAATTTACTTTTTCTTTATATTTAAATATTTGTAGACAATTTATATTATTACTTATATATTACCTTAAAAAAGATTTTAAAAAAAGTAAAGAAAGTTATAATTAATAAATAATATTAAGTTAAAGTATGAAACAAAAATATTTATTTACTTTTAAAAAATTAAAAATGACAGTTAATCAAATTTTGAGTAAAAAAACCATTACAAAAGGAGTGTAAAATAAAATGGGTGAATCAATTACATAAATAAAAAAAAAAAAAAAAAAGGAAGGCAGCGCCCCAAATGTTCCCAATACGGATTTTATTTGAAATGTGACAAAGTTTAAAAGATGGGTATCGTTTAGGAATGAATTATAGAAATGTTTTTCAGATAGCACCTTACCTATTGTAAATTTATTATCTTTAATTAATTTTAATTATTTTTTTATATATTTTTACCAATTTTAGTAAATATTTAAATATTTTACTAATTTAAATAAATATTTGTATATTTTTGCTAATATAATAAGTTTTTATATTTCTCTAAAAAATAAATATTTTATATAATTTTGAGATAATAAAGACAAAAAAATTTACTACTACAACTACAGCCTATAGTTACAATGTACTACAGTACTCCTACGCAAAGCTCAAGATTTCTCTAGTACGTAAAGGATCAAGATGTTAATCGGGATTTTATTTGCAATAATTCCATGTGTATATAATCATCATTTTGATAAAGATAATTTTTAGGAGTCATACCTATCACTATTTCGTGAAGGTTGTGAAAGGAGCAATTACTCGTTTCCATGGCTCGTCAGGGATGCAACTAATTAACTGTCTTCTTGAAGACTTCTTCCAGTTGGATCTTGACCCTTGGTTGAGAAAAATTTCTTCCAAACCAAGGAGGAGACCTCATGCTTCAGACACATGACCGAGCATATATATTTCTTGCAACTATCTGGTACTTATGGAAAAGTAGGAACAAGCTGATATTTGAGGTGCAAAGGATCCCACCACTAACTATTACTCAACGAGCAAGCAAATTGGCTTTGGAAACAAAACTTGCTTTCGAGGTTGAGGCAACCCTCACCTTAAAAACTCCCAGATGGGTCAATTGGACCCCTCCACCCCAAGACTTAAACTTAATAGAAATGGATCACATGATCATAATTTAGGTAACGCGGTTGTAGGGGGACTTCTTTCTGATCAATGTGGGTGTTGGCATCATGGGTTTGCTATGAATGTGGGCATTACCACAAGCTTTTTGGCTGAATTATGGGGATGTAAAGAAGGTCTTAAACTCGCAATTTCCCTTAGAGTGCAACAGTTAATACTGGAAATGGATTCCTTGCTAGCAATTCAACTAATTCAGTCTCGGAAGGTATCAACTGGCGCAGCTTCAGTGCTTCTATATGATAGCTTCTGGTTACTTGACTCCTTCACTTCTTGTTCGGTACATCACACTCTCAGAGAAGGTAATTTAGCTGCTGACTATATGGCCTCCGTTAGGCATAATCTTGCGTTGGGTACTACCTTTTTTCCAACCCCCCCAATGAGTATTAGTCTGATTTTGCAAAACGATTGTACTGGGGCTCCATTCCTCAAAAACTAAGCTTTTAATAGCTTCTGCTGTACCAAAAAAAAATTACTCGTTTCCATGGATTATTGATATTACTAAAGGTTTAGGTTTGTCCAAATGCAGCTGGTAACAGTATACTCTCTTTGTCCAAGATACTATATTGTTTTTTAATTCTAAATTTATTTTAAATTAATTATTATTTTTTAATTTTTTAAGATAAAAAATATTTTTTTACTTTAACTCTTTATTATTTATTTATTTTAATTAATTATTCTATTGCAAAAGAAGTTAGTACATATTAATTCTTATTCT